GCTTATTGGATTTATGGTTGTTATTATTATTAAATAAATAAATATATTACAAACTATAGAAACTCTTCAACATTGTCTCTGTTTCAAAACTTGAGCGTGATGTTTTATATATATCTAGATATATGTATCTATAACTATCAATTATTGTTTTATTATTCTCCAGAAAAAAGTAAATAATATTATTTTATTTATACTGTATCACTTTCGATTATAGTTTTTTTTAATTCTTTAACTAATCATTTTAGAGGTTTAAACAAGTCGAGGCTTTAACGAATCGGTCCATATAAAAACTACATTAAGTTACTATTTTTGAGTCTTGATGAGCATAACAAACCGAGTCGTAAACGAGCGAGTGTCCCGTTTCGTTTAAATACTTTACAGTTTTGCTTTTGTTTTCTCACTGAGATTCAAATTAGAATCAAATGGCTATCACCCGTTTTCACATACTATTAAAAATATTAAATAAGTCAATAGAAACATTAGCATTGGAGACAGGGTAAAGCTCCCATGGCTAAAATCAATGGCGCACAAATATTCTCAACATGCTCTGGCCTTTTCTGTGTTTCGTATAAAGAGATAACTTTGATATGCTTAACACAATTATCTCTCTATATATATATTTTAATAAAATATTTTCCACTTTTATGATTTTACAACATTTTTGTGGCCTTCCTTGGAAGTTAATTTTTTTGTGGCTTTATAATTTTATTTCATTTTATATTTTTGTAAAAAAAGAGAGATATTGGGTTCTTCACTTCCACACTAATCAACAAAAAAATGATTCCCCACTTCCCTACAAATGTGGTCTTGTGGGGGAATAAAATTCTAATATGGCCATCTTTCCATGTCTCCACTTGAAAACCATGAGTGAAAATTAATGGGCTATCTCATAAATTATGGACACATAATTACTAAAAAAAGCTAGAATAATGAGATGATAATGACTTTGCAACCAATGGTTTTCATTGTGATTTGATATTGATTGAGCTTCTTAAGTACTAAATATGAGTATAGTTTGTTTATTTTTTGTGAATTTGAGAAAACATGAACCAGAATAGAAGAACAAAAGAATAATTGAGGATAAAATTATTGTGTTTATTGTTGACAATTATTGTGTAATACAATATAATCGTTAGGTCAGTCGATCCATTATATTTTCATAAACATGTACACTTATTCTACGAAATGTGTTTGATGAGTACGTGCAATTCCACATATTACATATATTACATAACATATTTCTTGTAATTTTTTGTTGACATTTAGATTATTTATAAACATGAGTTTTGAATAATGAGGGAGAAAAAAAGAGAGGACATGGAAAAAAGAGAAGGTGTAGAGCATAATTATGAACATGATCAAATAATGAGAGCATATATTCATGCTTGCTGCGCACTGTTTGGATTGCAAAAGAAAAGGAGAGAAAAGGGAAGAGAATCACGTGCATATAACCCTATAAATATGTATCTGCAAATATGAAATGACCTGTAAGGAATCAATTTGTCACGTCAAATGCACAAACAAAAATGAGAATATATTGGTATTAAATAATGTAGAAACTAGAAACAAATAAAAAGGAAAATTTCACAAATATTTAGTATGATTTTTTTTTTTTTAATATCAATATGCACTACAAGAAAATGATGAAATTCCAACGGAATTATATTCCAATAGAATTCCAACGACAATTCCAATGTATATTTCAATGTTATTATTTCCAACAAAAATATTCCGTTGGAATGAGTTTTCCATTGAAATTTTCGTTGGATTTTGACGATTCCAACGGTGATGGAAATAAAAATTCCAACGGAAATTGCATATTCCAACGGAAATTCTTACGGTCAAAAGTCGTTGGAAATATAGCCGTTGGAATCATCAAATTCCATCTAAAATTCCAATGAAAAATACATTCCAACGGAATATTGTCGTTGGAATGATTCCAACGGAAGCTATATACCATTGGAATATCCGTTGAAATTTCCATTGGAATATATTACCATAGGATTTTCCGTTGGAATATAACATTTTTTTTGTAGTGATGAAAAATCCAGCATATTAATTTTCTTCATATAAATGGATCTGAATAACCACAAATTATTGTGTAATACAATATAATAGGTGAGTCGAACCATCATATATTTTTAATAAACATGCACACTTATTTTATGAAATGTGTTACATTTTAGAGTATGATATTTAAATTTTAAAGCATGCATGTATATCTATTCGCAAAATATGACTCTTTAATCGCTAATTAGTGTGATTAATAATAATTGTTGATATATTCATGATATAATAGCAAATGTTGATTTAAGTATTTAACCGTTGAGTCTTGAGTCTTGACTAATAACAATAGTTTGTTGATTTTATATAATGGGGTGAGTGTATTAATGCAATTTAAATTTTGTTTTAGTTGATTAACTAGATAAATTAAGACCATTTGGCAGACATATGACATATCCCTTCACATCTCAGTTTATTGGTTTGCTAAAATTATTCTGTTTAAACAAAATTAAGTATGCTACCCAAAGCAAGGCTACTTTAACAGATTCATTGGCTTTTCTGACAAACAATTAAATATATATTATGGCTTATGTAGATGAATTAGGCATAGTTATGCGGGATGATAATGCAATAAAATGCACATAGTTATGCGGGACATGATAATGCAATACTAGTACAGAGCCCGTGCGATGCATGGGGTGCACAATTTTAAGGCTATTTATCCAGGCTTATAATTATATACATGAATAAAGAAAAATGTACGGGATATATATAGTACGTGACCCGTGCGAAACACGAGATATATTTATTTGGAGAATATTATATTATAAGATGCAATATTCAATAAAAGTTTATAATACGCAAGAAAATTGTACAATGTTCAAATACCCGTGCGAAGCACGAGATATATTTATTTGTTTTATGATTTAATAATACTAGTACGTACATCGTGCGATGCACGAGAGAGATATTAAATGAATTATTTTCACAGGCTCTGTCCGTTAAGTCTGAGAAGGGTTATTATCCATTTTCCACCTATTTTAATCACCGTTAAGTCTCGTTTAAGTCTGAAAAGAGTTATCATCTATTTTCCACCTCTTTTAATCACCGTTAAGTCTAAAAAAATAGGGTTGTAATCTATTTTTCACATCTTTTAATCAGCGTTATTTTATTAGTCAAAACATTAAACGTGAGTATGTTAGGGCTAACTTGTAAAATAATTAATATATTATCTCACTAACAGATTTATACTAATATAAATTTAATTTTATTATAAATATTTATTCCTTGATATAAAAGAAAATAACAATTTTACTTATTCTTATTCACTATATAATAGTTAATTATTAAACTCTGTTGCCATATAATATCATTATTATTTATAAAATTATACAAGTTACACGTCTTCTTGTTCTTTTTATTTTATGTAATGAAATATATTTAATGCACGTTGGTATTATTTATATAAGTAATCAATTTAAAATATGTAAATAAATTTAAAATTAAATAGTGTATAAATAATGTACAAAATATACACATATATTTTTTTAGAATTTAATTTTGTATACTAATTAAACAACTTTGATTTAAGAAAAGTCATGAACTCAATCTCTTCTAATATGCATTGTACTGATTATTCTTATTATATATATAGATTAGAATTTTTGCGACACCAACCAAACTAAATATCACAACAACCAAGTAACAATTATGAAAAAACTCATAACACAACAACTATCAATTAAATTTGGTAATAGAAAAATTACATACGTATATATAAAAATATGAGGATTCGATATTTCTATTAACTGATGTATACACCACGTGTATATTTTGTTAAGGTATATTGGAATGTTCAATTTCATAGCATGATAACGATCAGTCTTAAAAAATCAAAAATCTTATTGAAATGTCATATTTTTCTGTTAAAAAACAGTTCCCATAAAAAATAATGATATCATAGAAAATTATTGTGTAATTGAACAAATTTCTATAATGAAGTCCGATTTTTTGTACAAAAATAAAGCAACAACTTCCACATTTTAAAAAAATCAATTAATGTTGGTCCGTTTTTGCTAAGAAAATAATAAATACATAAATTGTAATTAATGGAAAGTAATTAATGATGAGATAATTTGACCATATCTGTTTTTAAAAATCGTAACAGAAAAACAAATATTAAATAAAACTGTATAATACGGAAATAGTAATGACAATAAATGTTGTTGACTTTTCTAACTACTAAATTTGGTAAATAGGATTTCCTTTAATATAAAGATAGATAAACTAATCTATACTTAACTTTGACAAATAAAACAAATAAATACTTTAGTAAGTATTTAGTGTATATACTAAATAGGAATATATTTGGTATAATCAAATACCAAATATAATCAAATAAGTTAAAGTGTACATTTTTATTTGGTATTTGATTTTTTTATTATTAAATCTTTTTATTATACTTACCTTTTAAAATAAAATAAATAAATAAATTAATTAAATAAATAAAATATTATAGTACCAAAATAGTAATTGCATTTAATACAGTTGACTTTTCTGGATAGTAAATGTAGTAAATAGAATCTCCTTTTATATAAGTATAGATTGTATAATACGGAAATAGTAATGCAATAAATGTTGTTGACTTTTCTTTATACTAAATCTGGTAAATAGTATACCTTTTAATATAAGTATAGATTGTAATAGCAGCTTGATAAAATTACTCCCTTTTCATTTTCTTTCTTTCATTTTCATGTGGATTTCACTTGAATTGGAAGGCATGAATTTTCTTCTTCTTTATTTTTTCATTCTAAAAAAATTAATAATATGAACTGAAAATTTGTAATTTATGCATGACCTTAACTAGTGATAATAAATAGTTATTACTTAGTAGAGAACAAAAAAGTATGATAGTTTTTGGATGAATTTTTTATAATAATTTCAGTTCAAAAGTTCATGGCTGTTTTAAAATGGCCGATATGATGAATGATTGTCAGTTAGCACGTGAAAAATCAGCATTTTTGAATACTAATTCCCTTTCACAAATTTTAGAATTTATCAAATGAAATTCAAAACTGTCCAATGTCAAAGCTGGATGCCTGAACCACGTTAAATATGAGTTAATGGCGTGTTATGCGTGTATATATTAATTATTTATATTTTAACAACTCATTATCTATCTTTATTTTTTGTATCAGTTTTTTTATTTTTTATACATTCTCTTTTACATAAATACGTGGTTTTAAAGACAGTTTAAAGCGGTAGTTTTTTTGTTTTTTTATTTATTTTTACTCTTTTCTTCTTCTCCTATTTATTTTCGATGCACCTCCTCAAATTCTCCTCCTTTCTTCTTCATTTTCACGGTGCAGATCACACTCTTAAATTTCTTCCATATTTTTCTTTCTTTTTCCTCCAATTTTTTATTCTTCCGCGAAGTGGTGCGATGTGCCTTAATCCGCCGTCGCCCCGGTTAAACAACGGGTCGAGGTAGAAGCCGATCAAGAGCGGAGGTGAAGACTATTATTTCGGGTGGTACAACTACTGCTGCAAAGAGTACCACGTAGGGTTTTGGTGAATCCGTGGAGTTAGGGTTGCCCCGTAGCGTCGGTTAATCGAGAAAGAGTCAAAGAAAAGAAACCGGTTAAGACTTGTTTGACAGAAGACGTTAACTTCAGTGGAGTAATTTTGTGTTTTACTCTTAGTAATTGTGTAGTTGTTCTATAGTTGTTTTTTTATAATTATATTTTTTTGTATGTTAAGTGGAATGGTAGTGTATTCATCAAATGGTTTTGGATTGCATCTCGATTTGTCTAATTAAAGACATCCATATGGTGTGACAGTGTTTTGTGATGGTGTGACAATGTTTGTGTGGTTCAATGGTTTGTATAAATATTACTAATGGTTTGTATAAATATTACTACTAGTTTTGTGGCAAAATTGATGTGGAGGATGTATTTTAAAGTTTTTTTTTTTTTTTTTTTTACCAAAATTAATCTTGTTCAACCAAGTTTCATTTATTCGACAACAGAAATGCAGAAAGTAGAGATCAGATAGTCAAAAATTTGCAACTCTAGCCGGCACCAATTTTTTAATCCAAGAACATTATATGCCTAAAAAATGCCCAATCAATGCCCTCGAACAACGTAAGCAAGAGAAACCGCGTTCATGAGAGTTTTAAAGTGTAGCAGTTATAATTGAGAGTCGTGGCGGAGGATGTATTCTAAAGTTTACCAGATACTCCCTCCATTTTGAAATATAAGGCATTTAAGGTTATTGCACAAATATTAAGGAGACATTAATTAATGAATAAATTGACTAAATTAACCTTATTTACTCTAATCACAACCACTCCACACTTCCTTAGTTTCAACACAATGAGGGTATATTTGGAAAAAAAATGCAAAAATTTGTCTTGATTTTTGAGCGCGCCTTATATTTCAAAAAAAAATGAGAAATCTTTATACGTCTTATATTTCAAAATGGAGGGAGTATAATTTAGCAGTTATTAGTTTCACGTATTTAAGAAAATTAATTTGTAATTTACTAAATGATTTTTTTAGTTGGTAATTTTATAAACTCTTTTAGTTTATAAGGCAGTTACGTAATTTTCCCCGTTAAATATTCACTAAAATAGTAAAATGTAAAAGTTACACTAACAAAAATAGAAGTAGATCCATTAAGCTTGTTTGTCAACGGCCGGGCCCGCACGCCCGAAGGTGTGGACGGTGTATCGCGTGGTTTTAATAAGATTTGCTGGCCCAGATCCAAATTCGTAATGGCCTATTTAGAAAACCCAGAAAAAGAGTAATATTGGGCCCCAATCGTTTCAGAGCCGCGATTTCTCCCAAGCCCATTTTATAACATTCACATTTTATAACAATCGCGTGGGATGAATAAAAATTTCCCTTTTGATTGAGGAATTTACACCCCATACTATCATATTTAATTTATATAACACTTATACACCCATTTTATTTTTATTTATAAAATAGCCAAACCAACCACAAAATATTGCAAATATACCTAATAAGGTGCAAAATCCTTTTAACCGTTACAAAGCAATTTTCGGGCAATTAAATACATGTGAGATCAATAATTGAGATATACTTACCAAATAAATCGTAAGAATCTCTCTCTCTCTCTCTCTCTATAAATCAGAATAATTCATTGTCTATCTCTGTGAAAACCTCCGCCCACGTTCGTCATCTCTCTCAGTTTCGGATCGCAATTTTTTTTTTTTTTTTCCGTGAAATCTGATTGCCTTCGATTCATCCTAGATATTTTATCTGTTTGTGTTCATCTCAGCTATTCTAGAATCAGCGGTTAGAGATAAAGCAATCGCAAATATCTGAGGCGTAAGAGATGATCCGTGACCAAATCGAGAATGAATGGAAACCGGCGGCTAAGGATGAAGAAGACGACGTCAACGAGTTGGTCAACTAACAGATGTGTGAAGATCGATCTGTCAATTTTTTTTTAGTGGTATATTTGCTTAACTTTTGTTAAGAAAAAGATCAATCGCGCCTCTATTGTTTGTGTTGCGTTGTAGTATATATACATTATATGATCAGTATATGTACATATATGTTAAATATATCGTTCTTTTACCTGGTAGGAGGAAAAAATATACCTTGATTTTAATCGATCTGTCAATTTTTTTATTTTTTTTTGTGGTATAATTGTGGTATAAAGTTTATGATCAGTATATGTACAGTATATGTGAAATATATATATATACATAGTCGACTGTCCTTTTTTTCTTGAGGGTATTTTTTTTGTGGTATATTTGCGTAACTTTTCTTAAGAAAAATCGATTTGTGCTATGTTGTAGTATATATAAGGTATATGATCAGTATATGTGATATATATATATATATATA